AGGATCAGGGATGATCGGACAGCAGCAGGAACTCAGGCCGGATCCTATCTAGGTTCCCACCCTAACCCTTTTTCGTATGGTGCATGCGAATCAGTCGTGCATACAAATCAGTCCTACCTAACCAGAGTGATCCGTGACTTTGGGTCTGTTTCCCAATGAATAGGCACACTTCTTGATGTTACTCACCTTAGCTGGCAAGTTGTCACTCCAAGCCAGTCACTAAATTCCTATGAGGCCTTTGACTCAGAGAGTCAGCACTCACCACACTCTGTCTCAGAGAAGAGAGAGCCTGGAAACCCTGAGCACCACCTATTTATGGACTCTCGTTGCCTAGCAACATCTTCCTGCTCTTCTTCCTGTTTTTCTGCCTTTCCCCCTGTCTTTCCGCCTTTTCCCTTGGCAATGAAAAGGAGGCTGTCCAAAATGGAGACTCGCCTGTTCTTTTAACATCACGAAAATGGCAAACCCATGCCCAAGCAAATAAACAGTTTAAATATCCCGACTGAGTTAAATATTTACAAAAGGAAACTAACATTAACATATAAAAGGGACCAATATTAACAAGTGGTGCCTGTTTCGGTCAATTTGTAACATTGATAAAATAATGTGTTTGCAGTGTTGTGTTAGTTAAAAGTGAGTGCTTCCAAATGTCCCATTTAACAAGCCATTTTTTTTCTTTCAAATCGTAGGGAAAAAAATCTTTGGAATAACCTTTTAAGAACTAGAATGTATTTTTCAATATCCTTTGAGACATATGATCCATGAAGCATCAACCATTTTTATACAATTACAGTTTTAGATGAATTATAAACTCTTAAATTAAAATTACAGGGTTCTTTCTAAAAGTCATAAAGGATTAGAGACAGTTGGAAGCAATTTCAAGAAGAGACAGCTCCACAATGAAAGGGATGCCAAGAGTTTGAATGAAGGTGCAAATCAAAATGAAATACTTATAATATTGCATTTGCTACACAGACTGTACCAAATTAATTGGTGCTGAATGGAACAAAAGTACTTAAGCAATCAGTTTTTTTGTAGTCATTCTTCATAGAGATGACTATGATACTTAGTGCTGCAAAATCCAGATTTGCTATGTTTCTTTTCAAGATTTGGATTGACACCCTTTAACTCTCATGTCTATACAGCAATGATTTTTTTCTTTTAAAAAATATTGAAATGAACTGTTGTGCAGGCATATAATTGGTGGGGAAAGCTTCCCCACAGAGCTTTGCCAGGGCTGCTAAATCCTGATTTGTAAATCACCTCCTATTCCAGTCCTTAGCCTCTCATGATCAAAAATTGATATTTGTACCCAACTTTTTCTCTTTTTCACTCAAATAGTACCAAAAGAAATAGAATTATACTATTGGTTTCTCTTTGTGGAACTGAATGGCCCTGGTTTGCAGGAGAAAGATAGCTGTGAAGTCCTAGGTGGCTATAGGTTTAATGTATAAATGATTAATTAGGTCTTCAGTAGTCATAATGTATTATTTCTTAAATAAAATAAGTGATGCCTACATGGCTTATCATTATTCTGCAATGGGAAAATTTTCAGGTACTGGAAAGTAATGTCAATTTTCCTAAATCTGATGGGGATATGCGATCATTTTTTCTTTTCCTTTTCAAGTTAGTTGAATCACTGGACAAACATCCTTTCTTGTGATCTGGCTTCACATTTTATATAACTGAAATGATATAGGATAAAACCATCCAACTGCATTTTTTCCCTAATGTCTGTAATGTTAGGTTCTGCATTGTTGTGCATGAATTTGTACACTCATTCTTGCAAGGGGAACATATCCAATAAATCTTATCTGAGTGAATTATTATTCAGAGTGTATTCCAATTTGAAAATTCCAGACTTGTTACAAAATATAATAAAGGTTTTAGAGCATATTTGTTTTCACTAATAGAGAGAATAGCATATTAAACTTCATACCTTGTACATTCTAGCTTTTGGTTATGGTCAAAAAGGCAACTATGACCTGATTTTTTTAAAATTACTTGGGATTTTGAGTTCCCCTTTTTAGTTGTGTATACAAACTGTGATTCTTTAAAGGCTTAATATATACTGTGGGGAGGGAGAGGGTTTATGTGAGGCTGAGCACTTCTAAAATCAAACTACCTTACTGTGGTCAAATTCAACAATTACTAGTAATAGATAAAGTAAAAATGGCACATTAGTCAGAGCAGAGCATGCAGAGCCCACCTTCTCCCTCTTTGTCAGCATCCAGTAGGCCTCCGTCCCTTTCATTTCTCCCTTTACTAACCCTAACTCTGATTTTTTCGGCGGGTAAGGGGCTGGGTATTTTCAGTTCACGGTTTCATCTACCCTACCATATCTATACTGATGAATCTGCTTCTCCACAGTCCACTTGTGTATCATCCTGAATGTCTTTCTGTTAGCTCAATCCCAGCATGGCAAAACCAGAACTTTTCATTTTTCTTCCTAACCTGCTTTCGCTGTTTTTTCTCCATCACTGTTGAAAACAATATCATTCCACCTCATTACCCAGGCTCAGACCTGAGCACAACTTGTGACTATGTCTCCTACTCCCTGTGCATCAAGCCTTCTATATCACCTCGAACATCTATTCCAGGGGTGGGGAACCTAAGGCCTGGGGGCTGGATGCAGCCCCCAAGTTGGCTGGATCTGGCGCCCGAGTCTCAGGGCACTCCCTAACATTGGAGAGCCTACGCAGGCACTCCAGTCCCCCACTGCCTCCCTGTGAGGCTGGAGCACACAGAATCTACTAGCCCTCACATACCATTAGGCTCTGGGATGTGAGGGAAATGTGGGGAGTGTCTTTCCTCAGTTGAAGGCCACATCAATGAGGGTTGGGGGTTGCTTCTTACTGCGTGCAGTCCCTGACTGATTTTTCTGTTGGTCAGTGGCCCCCAATCAAAACAAAAACCAAAAAAGTTCCCCGCCCTGATCTATTCCATCATCACTCTTGATTATCTCCTGCTTATTATCTAATATTATCATTATTATCTACTGTATCCTTCATACCCCTGACCTCCTGTTACACATTTTGCTCTCCTCCAGCAGCCACTCAGCCCCTCTTCAACCCCTCAACTCCTCTGCTGCCTTCCTCTTGCACAATAAATGAAGTGGAAAAATGTATTTCTTACCTCCCAGACTCTATCCCAGGTTCTGTGTCTAACCTATTTTTCCCAATTGGATCAATCTCACTTGCCTTACTCCATCCGTGATGATAGACTCACCACTTTACGTCTTTTTAATTTTTTCACACTGACTTCCTTGTGCTTTTTCTCTTGCTTGAAATCAAGTAGATTAGACATGTTCCATTTACCCATTCTAGTTCATACTGAAATTCCATGTCTGCAAGTCTGAAAGACCCTAATTTCTGACACTTGAACATCAAAACCAGCTTGATTTAGAACATTTTTAAAAGAGTTCTAAATTATTGCTGCTTTGGAGTCCAATACAAATATTATTACTAGAGCTACTTGGAAATTTTCCATCAGAATGTTTTTCTGTTACAGAATTCTGATTTGTCAAAATTGAATCGTTCTTGAGATCATAATGAGTTCAATTAATTAGATGTAACTTTTTGCCTACCAGGCGAAATTATTGTTTGAGTTGCTTAGAAGCCTGGGCTCCACAGTGACCTGAACTTCTGGGATTCCTAGCTCCAGGAAAGCCTTCAAAGTAGAAAGCCTTGGAGATAGAGATTCCAGGGCTTCTGAGCAGCCTGCTCCTTACTTGCTGTGTGGCTGGGGAGCCAGGCAATTCATAAAGCTTTGGATAAGTTTAGAAAAGTTTTTAATTTTGTATAAACCACATTTTAGAATTCCTGTTCTGTGGTAAAATTTGAAATTTCTTTTCTTTTTGGTTATACAGGCTGAACCTCTTTAGTCTGGCACTCCCTGGTCTGGCAATGTTCATTGTCCAGCATGATTTTAGTTACCTGGATGTCCACTTACCATGGTTGTGGCCAAGTTTCCTGTGGTACCAAAAAGTGTGCTTACAGCTACCATTCCTGGCTCTGTGTTCTCTCTTGTTATTTAGCTCTAATTTATCCCAAGTATCTTCTGTGAGCCTAGTGTAAACCGTGGAAGTGTTGATAATGCTGCTAGATAATATTGACCTCCCATCTTTCAGCAAATTCTCTGGCTTGGCACTGGACAGGTACCATGGGTGCTGGGCTAAAGAGGTTCAACCTGTATTTTCAAAAAAGTTTTTTCAGGTGGCAAGCAGGGAGAGGAGGCTTTGAGAAGGGGGGATGTAGTGTGGGGAGGGACTGGAATTTCCCACAGAGTGGGAATTCTGGTTCCATACAGCTCTAAATTGTTACTAATGATTCAGCAGCCAGAAAAAACATAACTTGTTTGCCAGAACTTGGATTCAAGTTACAAAACTGTCTTTTATAAGAGGAGGGGAGGAATTCTTCTTTTACTTATAAACTGAGCATATGTGAGAGATAATTGAGATATCCTTAGGCATTGAGACAGCAAGCACACTACTTCATCCTGCCATTTTTACAGTGTAAACTTCCAAAGAATAGTGTTATTTTAAATTGTATTCCAAAATCTTGCTAAATTTCTTCATGGTTATTGTGGTTATTATTCTTCATTGATCTAACTATGAAGTCAGTGCATTAGGTGCAATTAAAATAAGGAGAGGAGAACTTGGTTTAAAGAAAACAACTTTTAAAAGAGTTCAATTTTGTTTACTTTTGTCTGCTCATTTGAAGAGACAGTGTGGGCCAGTGGATAGGGCAGACAGTAGATTTTTCAATTAATCTCTCTGCCTCTGTTTTTTTCCATTTGTTAAAAATAGGATAATGATAATTATCTTCTGCTAACTATTTGAGCTGAAATGAAAAACTTTATATTAGAGCTAAAAAGATATAAAAAGTGATTTCCTTGTATTGTGTTAAAAATTGCCTTATCTATTGTTGTTCATATTTCATAGGGATAAATATTAGTATATTTTTCTCAATAGACTGAAACTGATTATAATCTATCCTCAGATGATCTGAATATGACACATCAGCATTGTGTTCTGGCTGGTTTGCAGCCTCGTTTCAGCTCTACCCACAGAGTGGCAGAGGTGAGTAAGAAAAGGGATTTGTTTTTTGGTCATTTGAACTATTAGTAGTGGCTGACAAAATGAATTTAGGGCCACACAGTCTTGTTTTAAACTATGATTAGTGGTTTTACTGTTGACTCAGACTTTTTGTGGGAGATGTATGTTCTATGCTTTTCGCTTACTGCGAAGAACTCTTATTGATTTGTATGGGAGAAGGGTAATTTCTTTGTCTATGAGCCATTTATGCCTAACCTCACACAAAGATTTTGTATTACACTGCAGTACCACAGCTTATTAAAGAAATGCAAAGACATATAATTACTTTTTTTATAAAAAAAATGTTTTCATACTTTTTTTGGGGGGGGAAGGGGAATACTTAACCCATCCCCACTACAAAAGTCATACTGTTGATGGGAAGGGATATGAGGTCTAATTACTCTGCACACCAGCAATCCAAACAGCCCTAGGCTGCCACTACAAGTCAGGGCAATGTGGAACAGCGATGAGGCTCCATTTCCCTGGTTCCTCTAGAAATGCAGGGAGACGCAGAAAAGTGCACAAAGGTCTTGCATCTCTCTCTTAGATGGTCCGAACACTGCTCTGGCACACCCGAGGATTCAGACCAGTGCTTCCAAGAATGCTGATATGTGATTTTTATTGGATTTGTTTCTTCTTTAGATACTCTTAACTATTGATCATAATTTTATTAATGATAAAGAAAATGGAAGTATTGTACCTCCTAGTATGATTTTTTTGCTTATTTTCATAGTTATTTTTCTCTATATAGCAACCAAAAGGAAAAAAGAAGGTTATAAAAAAAGTATCATAGTTTACTCTAAATAATTCCTCAAAAGTAACTAATCACATTTTAGTTTTGTCTTACCATTTTGTCCAAACAATGAGGACAACAAGCCAAAAAAGGAAGAAATTAGAATTTTCATCATTACTTTTGTATCTCTAAGATTTCAAATGTGTTTCACAGAGTTTCAGGGTACCCCTCCCATCTGTTGTTTTAAAAATAATCTATTGTATTTTAAATAATTTAGTTTTTGAAATATATACTTTTTTGTATCAATACAAATTTAAAAAGCAGTGCAGACAAACTGGCATATATTACATGTTAGAAGATTTATTATTTTACTTTAAAACATATTAATATCAAATCACAGAAACAATCCCTTTTCTCTCATTTTGCAACTTTTTGATTATTTGAGTAGCTGGCACTGAATTTTATTTTCTGTTTGCTGTAAACAGTATTACTTCCAAAGAATCGGTGAAAATGATTGATTTTTATTGTGTTCATACAGTGCTCAACAGGAACACTGGAATATATTTTTGGACAGTGTGAGGTTGCACTTCAGAATTTACAGGCTGATTCTGATTCAGCAGCTTTATCTTTGAAATCACTGGAAGTCCAAGTTGTAAAGGAAGTGGAAGGAATCCATAACGAGGTGAGGGGAATATTTTCACATTACATTAGGCTTGATTCTTTGCGGTGCAGCAGTAAATGGCACTTTAGGATGTTCCACAGCTCACAAGACCTCACTCTGTGTAGGTATCTCAAATTTGGGTGGCTTTGACTCTTGCACTTGGATGTGTTGGTTGGGATTAATACAAAGTCACAAGCAGGAGGACTCCACTTTTCTAACTGAAGGAGCAGCTTTAGCAAGAATATTGGTTAGATGAAGACAGATTTGATGAATTTCTGCCTTGCTTTTCTACTCCGGGAAAAAGTAAGCGGGTAGAAAAATCGAAGGAAAGGAACAACAAATCCCTTACAAACATCTTGAGTTGTTTCTCTAAAGCTAAAATAATGCCAATCATTTTCAATGCAGATGTGTGACAACGCAGAGTCTGCTTTAATGTCGGTACTTAGGAAAATACTGTAGAAATCAGGTTCCTGAAAATAAGATCATGGCCCTCATCCTGTACTGAGGATCATGCTGGTTAACCAATATGCCCTCAAGGAATCCCACTGAATGCACCCATTTTCAGATCAGAAATGGTCTTTAGCAAGAACACACATTAAATAGATCAAGGAGGCTGTCAGGTTAGAGGGCAGTGTGTAGAAAGATTTGAGAAATTTGTAACTTTATCTGATATACAGAATTATGTTGTATCCTGGGGAGTGTTGTTCTACTGATTCTCAGAGTTAAAGGAAAGAGCTGCCATATGACACAGTCATTAATATCTTGCAGAAGGTTTGGTAAACATGCTTACATTCTCTTTGTGATGTCTCCCTAAAGGTTGAATCAACAACACTTTGTAGGGTATTTAAAAACAACAGATTTGATTTGTTTTTTGTTCTCCTGATAGCAGTATCTCTAGCTGCACTGAGTAATTAGTAATTCAGTATATTAAACACTGAGTAGTTAGTACACTGTAGCACTACATTTTTTACCAATTTTGTCACTGATTTCAGTGGTGCTTTTCAGGACAGTTATATTCTGTGTCAGGAGGTAATGGAGCAAATAATTAAGGAATTCATCTACAAACACCTAGAAGATAATAAAATGATAGGTAACAGCCAGCCTGGATTTGTAAAGAACAAATCATGTCAAACCAATATGATAGCATTATTTGATAGGATAACAAGTCTTGTGGATAAGGGAGTGTAACCGGGTGGCCTGCTAGGGGCCTTGGGGTCCCCTCCAGTTCGAGGGCCACTACCCCGACGCTTCCCTGCCCCCGGCTTCTAATGCGCCGTTCCCACGGTCCACTCCCAACAGTCCTTTCCCCGCGTCCTCACCAATCCCACCGGAGCCTTCCTTTTGCGCCCCATCCACAGCGCTGCTGCTCCGGATCGCTGGCTGGTCCGGCGATGCCACCACCGCAGGGCTTCCCGTTGGCTCTCTCTGTGCCGCCTCGGCCCCCCGCATCGGTCGCCTTCCTTCCACGAATCCTGGCCGTATCCCCAGCTGGTCCCTCGGTCGGTCCTGCGGAGGAGGCTGAGAGCAGAATCTCCCCTGCTCTCCACTCCCCTCCCCCCGTCCTGCCTCTCTCTCTCCTCTTTTAAACTCCCCGCTCGGCGTTCCTCCAGCCCCCGCCCTTTCCGGGGCCGCCACCGGCTTTCTGGGTCCTAAAACCCTGAGAGTTCTCTCACCTCAGAATCAACTAAAGAAGGATGTGAGAGAGCAAGCAGAGTGCCAGAAAAAGGAGTTCACAATCATCTGGCAAGTGGCTTGCTCTAGAATGACCAGAATAGTCTGTGCTTCACCTTCCATTTGTCTGTTCACACCCCTCCCCCGGGGTCTCTTTCACCTCCTCCCTTGTCTCCTCCCTCCCGGCCGCCCTTGATAAAAAGCCCACGTTTGTATGTTCTCGTCCTGCCGGTGTTCTATTTTAAACGAGTACTGCTGTAAAAACAAATACCACCTCATTATACGAGGATTAGCCTCCTTCATATTGTGCTCCATGTTAGTGGTGCGTGGTCTGTCACTAGCCTGAATGGGTTTCCTAGTAGGTAGTATCTCAACGATTCTACCGCCCATCTAATGGCCAAGGCTTCCTTCTCTATCATGGAGTAGCGCCGCTCTCTTGGGACTAGTTTGCGGCTCAGGTATAAGATGGGCCTATCGCTCCCTCCCTGCTCTTGGGCTAATATTGCCCCGATCCCGGTGTCTGACGCATCCGTCTGTACAATAAAGGGCTTAGTGAAGTCTGGTTGTGCCAACACCGGTGCCGTAGTAAGTCTCCGCTTTAGCTGCTGAAAGGCCTCTTCGCATCGTGGTGTCCACTACACCCTTTCCGGGCAGCCCTTCCTCGTTAAGTCCGTCAGCGGGCCCGCCACCGTGGCAAACTGCAGTATAAACCGACGGTAGTACCCGGCCAGGCCCAGAAACCGCCTCACCTGCTTTTTCGTCGACGGAGCCTGGAACTTTTGCACCGCCTCCACCTTGGTTACCTGGGGCTTCAGGCACCCCCTTCCTACCACATACCCCAGGTACATCACTTCTGACTGGCCAAACGCACACTTACTAGGGTTGGCCGTTAACCGGGCTTCCTCTAGTGCCTGAAGAATATTCCGGACGTGTGCTAGATGGTCCTCCGAGGATGCACTGTATATGATAATATCGTCAATGTAGGCGGTGGCGTATGCCTGGTGGTCTCTCAGAACCCTGTCCATTACCCTCTGGAAGGTGGCCGCCGCCCCGTTCAAACCGAAGGGCATCGTGAGGAAGTGATATAGCCCGGACGGGGTGGCAAAGGCAGTTTTCGCCTGCGACGCTGGTGTAAGTGGGATCTGCCAATACCCCTTCGTCAGGTCCAATGTTGACAGGAACTGCGCCTGCCTCAGCCTCTCCAGCAATTCTTCTACCCGGGGCATCGGATAGGCGTCCATACGGGAAATGGCGTTAACCTTTCTGAAATCAATGCAGAACCGTAAGGTCCCGTCCCGCTTGGGGACGAGCACTATGGGGCTCCGCCAGCCGCTTTTGGACTCCTTTATGACCCCCATCCTCAGCATCGTGTTTACCTCCTCTTGAACCGGTCCCCACATCTTTCGGGGTAAAGGACGGAGGGGTTCTCATACCTTCTGGCCGGGTGGAGTCTGGATATGGTGATACCCCGCCGTCGTCCTACCTGGCTGGGCTGACAACACCCCCACGAACTCTTGCAGCAGGTTCCTCATTTCATCCCTTTGGGCTGCCGTCAGCTCCGTTCCCAGCGTCGCCTCCTTCCCGGCGTTTTCGATGTTGCCGCCCCAGGGTCCCAACTCTGGCTCGGACCTTTGTAGGCTGACCATGAGGCCTTCTTGTTCCCTCCATCCTTTTAACAAGTTCATGTGGTAGATCTGTGTTCCTTTCCGCCGGTCCAGGAGTTTGATCTTGTAGTCAACTGGGCCCACTTGCCGCACTACTTCATAGGGGCCTTGCCACTTTGCCAGCAGTTTTGACTCGGCCGATGGCAGCAGCAGTAGGACTCGGTCCCCCGGAGCAAAGGTCCGCGCCCGTGCCCCTTGGTTGTAATAGTGCGCCTGCCTTGCCTGGGCCTTGCGGAGGTTCTCCTGAGCCAGTTCGCCCACCACCTTCATTCTTTCGCGCAGCTCCATAATATACGGCACTGTCCCTCGTACCCTCGTGGGCTGTTCTTCCCACTCCTCCTTGATTAGGTCTAAGATCCCCCGGGGCTGTCTCCCGTAGAGCAGCTCAAATGGGGAGAACCCGGTAGAGGCTTGGGGTACTTCCCGTACTGCAAACAGGAGAGCCGGGAGGAACTGGTCCCAGTCCCGGGGGTCTAACTCTACGAACTTTCTAAGCATGGTCTTAAGTGTCCTGTTAAAACGCTCTACCAACCCATCCGTCTGAGGGTGGTATACGGAGGTACGGAGCTGTTTCATTTTCAACAGAGCTCCGCCATGACCCGCCCTGTCAGGTTCGCCCCCTGGTCTGTCAGTATCTCTTGGGGTAAGCCTACCCTGGCGAACACCTTGACCAGTTCCCCTGCCAAGGTCGGGGCCTTGGTGTTGTGAAGCGGAACCGCCTCTGGGTAGCGGGTGGCATAGTCTATCAACACTAAGATATGGCAGGGGGCTTCCAGGGACCCCACCAGATCCAGCGCGACCCTGCTAAAGGGTACGTCCACCACCGGTAAGGGTACGAGCAGAGCACAGGCCACATTCTTCCCCGCCACCCGCTGACACTCCGGGCAGGAGCTGCAAAAGTCTCTAACCTCTTTATGGATCCCTGGCCAATAAAATATCTGCAGTATACGCTGCAGAGTCTTTTCAGTCCCCAAGTGTCCTGCCCAGGGATTGGTGTGGGCCGCCTCCAGCACCAGCCATCGCCTTCGGGCAGGAACCAGGAGCTGCTGCACCCCTTCTTTTTGCCCCGGAGGGGAGACTACCTGGTACAAGCGCTCGCCCCTTACCTCAATCCTCTTCGGTTCCCGCTTGTTCCCAGGCGTGCTTCAAGGATTCATCCTCCCTCTGCTCCCTTACGAAATCAGAGTCGGCCTCTGGAATCTCCCGTCCGACTCTGCCACTTGTCACGTCCCCGGCCTGGGCTTCCCGTGCAGGCTCCTCTTCATTGTAGCGTGGCCGTCTGCCTCCCTTCGACTACCCGGTACAAGCGCTCGCCTCTTACCTCAAACCGAGGCCCCTGCTCCCCCTGTCCGTCGGGGTCCTCTTTGGTTCCCGCTTGTTCCCAGGCGTGCTTCAAGGATTCATCCTCCCTCTGCTCCCTTACGAAATCGGAGTCGGCCTCCGGAATCTCCCGTCCGACTCTGACACTCGTCACGTCCCCGGCCTGGGCTTCCCGTGCAGGCTCCTCTTCATTGTAGCACGGCCGTCTGCCTCTCTTCGGGTCAGGGTGTGCCCTCCCCCAGTCTTTCGCTCTGGCTCCAGCCACCATACCGCCGCGTCTTTAAGTCTTTGCACCACCGCCCTGGGTCTTTCCCCTGGCCGATACTTCTCCGCCCTAAACCTCTGCCGATGGGTCTCCGGGATAAT